GGTGATAGCTTCTTCGTTATAATTGTTTCCCCAAATAGAAATTATTTATGACTCAAGCTAATAAATAACAAGAGGTTCTTATTGTTTGCACTTTTATTTCAAAACAATAAAAATGGAAACAACAGAATAAACTAACCGCTCCACACTTAACAGAAAGATGTAATAGTTTTTGTGCATATCGACTCAAAAGGTAATATGAAAAAGAAAATACACGCGTGCCAATAGTATTTGGCAGATCGAGTTCTGATGAATGAGATGCGATAACCGGTTGGCTTATTTTGCTGTTCTCTTTTACTTGTTATTTTTATATTTTGCCTCTAATTCTGTATGCGCGCTTAAAGAGTGCCGAAGAATGTTGATAGACAAAATGTAGAATGGTTTGGTTTGACTTGTTTTGTTTTGTTTTACGGCATATAAACCTTTTTATTCCTGGTAATATTTTGTTTTGTCAAAAATCTATTTCAGGTTAGATTTTTTCCACTAAAAAAAATTATAGTATAGCTAGTAATATTATTTTAAAAAATATATTGCTGGTAATTTTTTTTCAAAAATGTATTGGGAACATTTTTTTTTCTTCTTTTTTCAAAAATATATTTTAGGTAATAGTTTTTTCTTCAAAAGTTTATTTCTGCTAATAATTTTTTTACAAAGTATTTCTGGTATTAAAACCTATTTTTACACTTTCATTATGGTTTTTACTTCAGTTTCAAAGTTAACTATTTGCCCATAGCTGGGACCCTAACAGGTGCTACCACCCCGGTCGGGGTGGACCTGGGAACACCAGCAATTAAGCGGTGGTTGCACGCCTCTCAAAACCTCCTGATCAGAGGCCTTGCTGTTGGACGTAGTTTATCGTCTTACCCTAGACGCGGGTGTAGTTTATTGTGATACCCAGGACGGCAAAATAAGGAATGGACAAAATATGGAAAAGACAAAGTGTCGAATGGACAAAGTGCCGAACGAAAGGCCAGGAATGTGTCTACAATAGAATACCTTTTACTTAGCTTGCAAGTATCTTGCCGATTAATAATTATTTTTGAATTTTAAACTAATATCAAAAACATCTGATGAAAAAAAAAACTTTCTACATAATTGCTAACTTTTCTGAACAAGGATCTGCATTGAAACTACAGCAAAGAGTTAAAATTTTATTTATGAGAAATTAAAATTGTGGTAAAAATAAAAATAAAATTTTATTTTAAGACTAAATGATGCTAACGCAATGCTGTAAAAAGTTTAGAATAACTTAATTCATTATTTTAATGGAATTTGTAAAACCATGACAATATGTTCGTTTTTAATTTGTACAACATTTTCTCCTTTTGAAATTTTGTTTTTTCGACATTTTTTTCAATTCGTCATTTTGGCTGTCGACACTCTAACCTACTACCATTCCGTATTGCTACCCTTGTTGCTTTCCTTCTGCCCCATTTAATTATGTCCGTTTTTTTATTTAGTTAAAATTTTAACTTCTAATAAAATCACCATAAAAAAAAGAATTTCACATTTCAAGTACTCTACAAAATGATTCTATTTGAAATTTTGTGTAGTTTATCTGAGGTGTTTATATACCGTTTAGCTTAATTACATTCCTTGTATTGGATTATGAATTAAGTTGAGATTTATTCAAAAACTTGCTGATTTTTTTGTATATTATCACATAAATATTTTAAAGTCACATTAAGCACCCGCAGAAAATTTGCGTGGGCTGCCGTTATGAAAACGTTTGCAGATGGCTGACTCAGTCTTGTGTTAGTTTCCGGCTTTTATTTTCTGGTGGAATTTAAAACAGGCTCCGGAAACTTTCTCCTTTGAAATATGATTTCTTCGACTTGATTGGTTCAAAATATCTCTGAGCTTGAATTTGAATTTTATGATTGGATGAATAATGTTGTTATGGTGTGCGTGCGTGAAAGGTGGAGAGGAAAGGTATTGTACATGTGTAGGTCATTTATTTGCAGCAAATCATATTTCGCTCGAAATCACTCTGTTTTCCAGGAGCCCGTAATGATTTGAGTTGTGAAAAGTTTCATTGTTTTTCGTCTCAATGAGATCTTAGAGAATGAAGCATCAACTTCTTACTGTCTTTTAAATGGAGTTGTAGTCTTGGCGCTCATAGACTCTGCCCCGGAGTCCATTAATGTTAATCAATCATATTTTATAATATTATACTAATCTGCATGACTAGATACCTTGCAATGTTCGCAATTCTAAAGCCTGAGGTACTACAGCCGTTGAGATCCGTTGATTTTCACTTTCCACGCCGTTTGCGTCCGATGTGGCAGGTTTGTGGTACGTGTCCTCTACAGGCCACACCAACAAGATGAAAACAATCGTCTCGTTTTTCTATGTGCTGTCTCCATTCGGGACGTGGGTGATAAAAGAAAAATACCACTTCATATCCTTTGTAGTTCTTATCCTTCCCAAACTTTGTCAGTTCATCCATTTATACAAGCTCGTTAGCTAGGTTAGTCGATGCTCTCGCTTCTTGCTCTTGACTTCAAGTTGTCCAGCAAGTGTTACATTCTGTAAGCCCTCTTTCCTCATTGTGTGTCCGCGACATTTCAAATGTCTCTTTCTCATATTAATTATAAGCGCGCTTTTTGTTCCCATTTTCTTTAAAGCTTCCTACTTAAGAATATGTTCCGTCTATAGTATTCTTAGCATCCACAGTTTTTGTTATGTCAACGAACACTCGTTGCCACTTTTGTGATGTCATTCAGATGCAAGGTCAGTCGCCATCTTTTGTCTTCTTTGACCTGTTCTTTTTTTTATCCTTTCTCTCCACTAAAGTCTTCTCCTTATCCATCACTTCCAGTAACACCTTGCGTTCTAGTATTATTATCGCCTTGCTTGGGTGAAATGATTTTTTTTTTTTTAAATTGTTAGTAATTTTTCACAAATTCCGTATGGCTTGTCTTTTTTAAAATCTTGTTCTGTGATCTCAACGAAGACTCGTCATTTTCGTAATGCTCGTTGTAGTAGAGACTTTGTAATCGCAGATACATCTATAGTACGCCGTTGAACAATACTGATGTCAAATGCTTTCGAATATCACTCGCACTATTAGTAGGCGTACTTACTCGATAATACTCGCTCGAATAGTCATCCGTAAAGTGAAATAGTATAAAGAATGCCAGTCCTTATAGTAAGAGACGATGGAATAGAATTGGTCATCCATATAGTAATGGATGATAGGATAGAAATAGCGATCCGTATAGTATAGAGAAGAAACTAAAAATGGCGATCCAAATAGCAATAGACGATAGACTAGAAATACAAAGTTAGACGTCACGCGATTTCTTAGATATGCGTTTTCTCTATGGTCCTGTGATCCAATTAATTCAATAATGGGATCGCCTTTGTTTTCTCACTGGCGATCTATGTTCGAACTCAAGTGTCGGCAGCGACATTTTATTCCATTATAGCAACATTTCTATTGCCTCCTGTCCTTTCTTCCTCTGTGAGGAAACTGTCCAGCATTCGCTGCCATATATAAGGACTAATATTAGAGGATAGTTCGACACTTTCTCCGTTTCTAACAAAATTTTCATGTCCCTTAATACATTATATTTTGCGAGGCATCTTTCTCTATTCCAGTGCGCCTTCGGATTTCCAAGTCACTTTTCCATCCTCTGTTAACACACTTCCCAGCTGTTTCCCGGCAGAGTTTCGTCTCGGGAAACAGCTACCCCACTTCGTTTTATAATGGTTCTACTGGCTCGGATGAACCACATTATACCCGGCCTTGTGCCACATCTGTTCGCGTGGGGAGGTTAGTAAATGGAATCTTTTCCAGCTGAGCTGGTCGAACACTCTGCCTTCAGGCAGAGAGGAACCCAGACGAGGCTATGCCGAAGAGCAGAGTTTCGTCCGCAGAGGTAGACAGACCCGACCCCGTTTACGCGGGGTCTACGGGGATTTTTCGCCGAGCCTACGAGCTCGGGAAATCCCCCACATTAAATTCGGCCTTGTGCCACATGTGACTGTGTGGCGCACTTGCTAGATACCGTCTAGCTGTAATCTTCCAGCTGTGCTGTTCGAACTCTCTGCCTGCCAGCAGATTGGATCCCCAGACGAGGCTATGCCGAAGGGCAGAATCTCGTCTCGGGAAACACCTAACCGACCCAGTTTTACACGGGTTATTCGGGAATTTTTGGCTGAGCCTATGGGCTCGGATGCTCCACATTAAATTCAGCCTTCTGCCACATCTGATCGCGTGGGAGGGTTAGTAAAAAACACTAGCTGAGATCTGTTACCTAGCTCTTAGATGTTGTCGAAAACTCTGCCTTCAGGCAGAGAGGAACCCGGATGCGACTATGCCGAAGGGCAGAGTATCTGCCGCGGAGGTAGACAGACCCGAACCCGTTTATGTGGGGTTACGGGGAATTTTTGGCCGAGCCTACGGGCTCGGATTGCCCCACATTTTATTCGGCCTTGTGCCACATCCTACCTCGTCGGGAGGCTGGTAAATATTACTAGGTGGGATCTGTTGAATACAACCTAGACTTACACGAGAACTACCGACCTTCCAATAGTAGCACTCACTACTGGATTGATTTGCGATAACCTTGTGCATAGTTGTTACCTTTATTCTTATTGTACTGGTTTTTATATTAAATTTATAATAATTTATACTCATTTTATCCACCTTGTTTTTCAAGTATATATTCCTATTAGCACGGAAGATAACAGTAATCCTAAACTGTAGCACTAACTTTAGAATTATACCGCCGTATTCCTCAACTTAATACGAGGTCGGAAGACGCCTATGTTTCACAAAGAGTTAATATAAATCTTCATCGTGATTTATACGCTTTACAACTCGACAGGGATATTGCGCCATGATGTTTTTTTTTTTTAACTTTTATTATAGACACGTTGGTGTTATCGCTTTTGACGCCACAGTCGCTGCCAACCGCGATAATAAATTTATTGATTGTACAACTGTCAGTTGATATATTGTGATCATATTTAAAACAATCAAATATCCTACATACTTACGGCCATATCGTCTTCAAGCACCAGTTCTCGTCTGATTACCGAAATTAAGCAACGCCCAGTTTAGTTAGTACTTAGATGGGTGACCGCTTGGGAATATCGGGGACTGTAAGCTTGGACGTGTGGGTTGTGTAATGGATAACGCCTCAGTTACTTTCACTTAACTTTGGGCGATCAAGAAAAAAAAGAAGCCTGTCAAATTCGCCCCAAACAACACTCACTGACACAACGCGTTAGGGCAATGCCCCATTTAACTCCAAATGAATCTGGAAAACGACCACGCCCCCCAAAAAATGACTTTTAGAGCTTGAGAAGAACAAGAAGAATATTCAACGACGTTTTGTATCTTTATATGTTTATTTAAAATTTTACATTGGATATAGGCTACTTTACATGTATCAGTGCAGCGACTGCTTTCGCCATATTTGGTTTGATGTTCCTGCTGCACTTCTTTAGATTCTTGACAAAATCCAAAGATCTCTAATCTTGACTAAACATTTGACTTCTGCCACTTTCTTGCCGACGTGACGTGGCTTCCTTCTACATTTTCTTCTATTTTCATGGCGACTTCTCTGGTGAGCTTTTAATCCCTGGTGCACTGACTACAGGAATTAAGGTGTTTTACTAGATTGGCATCTAGGTCCCACCCGTGTAGTGTTGAAATTGCTAAATGCAACCGACAATTCTACCTCAAAAGATTCTTTTCTCGCACTTTCCTCCTGTGGAACTCACTTCCGTTTACTTGCTTCCCTGATAACTAGAATCTTCAGAAAATTAATCAGTGACTACTTTCGCCATATCTAGATTGATTCCCCTGCTTCACATCTCTAGATTACTGACAAAATCTCAAGAAGGATCTGCAATGCAATCGATCCTGACTAAGCATCTTGACTTCAGTCACTTTCTCATTGTCGCTTCCCACTATATTTTCTAGAAATATTTTCATGCCAACTGCTATGATGAGCTTTTTTCTAAATGCAACCGCCAATTCTACCACAAAAGTTTCTTTTCTCTCACTTCCCATCTGTGACACTCCCTTCCGCTTACTTGCTTCCATGTTAACTACAATCTTCAAAAAATTAGTGCAACATCAATCGCCATCTTTTGTCTTCTTGAATCCGGTTCATCTTCTGTCCTTTCCCCAATCTGCCCTATTCGCAGTCTTCTCTTTCACTTTCATTTTCCTGTAATTCCTTGTGTAGTAGTGGCATTCTCGCCTTGTTTGGGGTGAAATGATTAAAAACGTATTTGCATGTATGTTTACAATGTTGTATTAGATTAGATGTATGATTCCACCGGTAATCATGGATATAGTGTCTCTAACCGATCCTAGATTGAACATGATAAAAACCGAAATGCAAGGAAGACTTTACAGGGTTTTCTTGAGAATATTTCAAGGTTTGAAACATAAAAACAAAAAGGTGACACCAACAATTAGCGGAATGGTTCTGGTTCCCAAAACTCTTGTAGGAAGATAACAGATTGTAAAAGAATGGCAGAACATGGATTAGTAAAAGGAAAGTATGTTGACAAAACTTAATGTTACGAAGGTTATGAAGTTGTGGAGAACCATAATCGCACGCATCCTGAAGAAACACGGCACATTATTTCAAAATAATGGTCGGGTAAATATTAATCTTTAACCATTTGCTAAACATCCGTATTGATGTTGGAATAGCGTTTCTGTAAGATTAAAGTTGAGCTGAAAGGTTTTGAATATAGCACAGACGTAATTTTGTTGTTAATGTTCGCATGTAAAATCCAATTAGCTTAGGCCAGTTGTGCTATAGTCTACAAGTAATTTGCAATTTCCAGGAAGTTCTCGATAATGTCAAAATTCTGCAAGAAATTAAGCTATTTCTTTTTTATATAGCCCGGAGACGAATTTGAATAAACGTCTTCCAAAAACTAAACAAAGTATTTAAAACAGACAAGATTAGAAACAAAGAAAAGAGTGATGAACTGTTGCGTATTATCATTCCTCTGGAATTGAACTGAATGAAGTACAATTTCTACACAGATAAAGAGGATATTTGAGGCACCAAATCTCTGGTTCTATAACGATTTTCTTAACGTATCTTAGATGTGGCACAAGATCAAAGGAGTACCCAGTGAGGATCGAACTCACTATTTAGTCGCAATTGATCTAGCTATACAAGCTTGGCAAATTACACAAAATCGAAGTCTCCAAAATGATTTGTAAGCGCAGCTTAGATGCGGCACAAGGTCGGAATTATGGATCGAACCCACTACTGATAATTGAACTAGCTACGCGAACTTGCTAACTATTACACCACGTGGAAGTGACCTAAATATGTAGCTCTACAGAAGGATATTGGGAATACTATGTGCGAAGCATGTTGACCATGTTTGCCGTAGTCTCTGAATACAGAATCCAGTGAAGTCCGTAATGTCTTCAATATCAGAGGTTGGCAGTGAAGATTCGGAGAAAGTAGCGGCTGTTAATTCTTTAAGTCTTCGATATCAGGTTGGCAGTGAAGATATTTTGGGAGTAAAAACAAAATGGCTGCCTTTATACACGTCGGATTGAATATTTTGAGCTTTCTGATTGGTTAACCCTTCTCTTGGTGAACGATAAAATGAGTCAGCTCATTTTGGCAAGCTCACTAGTACTAAAGCATACCCAAAAATTCCAACAAATCATGTGTGTAACGAAGCCGTTTTAAGGAAAATCGAAACAAAACAGACACTTGTGCTTAGACTCAATAAGTGATAGTTTAAAATTCTGCAATACATAACGAGAAAAGAGGGTTTGGAGAATTTGACACTCGCAGGACATACTAAAGAGAAAAACTGAAACGAGTAACATCTAGTAACCTGCCTGATATTTTTGTGTAAATGATTGACAGGAACAGAAATGGATGGAAATGAAAGTGGTGGAGAACCATGATCTCATTATTCTGAAGAGACGCGTCACATACATTATAGGCCAAAGAGTTTGAAACCGCTTTCTGGATTTAATAATTAGTAAGTTTCAGTAATTAGTAAGGTTCATGCATTATCTTGTTTAACTATCACTGATTAACCTATGAATTTGGAAATGGAAAGGTCCAAAATACGTTTATACTTTGAAACAGAAAGAAACATTTTAATTTTTTAGGACATATAATGAAGAAAGAGGGTTTGGAGAATTTGACGCTCAAAGGGTATATTGAAATAAAGAGTGACAGAGGAAAGCTGCAAATAATCTACCTAACAAGCGTGTGTAGCTGAACAGTGACTGGGGGGCATTGTAAGTCTATAAACATTACTTAGAGTTACAAAGTGTAAGAAATTGTGGGGAGTCATGGCCGCCAACGCCCAGAACGGATCTGGAACATAAAATAAGAAGTTAATGCAAAGGTATGCCTCCGTTGTTCGGCAGTTTGCAAACTATCCCCGCGAACAAATGTTTATGCAACCTGCGATAAACTAACAGGTGTGATGTTTGCCATTTAATGAGCCTAAGAAAGACGGCTGAAGAACGACCTGCCGCTGCAGACAACAGGAGTGTTAACATCGGAGGCGTCATTTTGTCACCTCTGGCAAACTTTCAGATAGCACAGAGAAATATATTCTGACCTGAATACATTCGATTATCAGCCAATCAAATGTTTAACTCGACGGATATATTGAAAACAGTTTATTCGCTTGTGTATTCATGGCGACATTTTGACGTGTCCGACCGTTCATTGTATTACGACGATCTATTACAAACAGTGAGCAGATCATCCGTTTCGTTCTGTTCTCTGCCTGCAACCGACAGTGTCTGCAAAGACAGTGTTTACGATTATGAGACCTGTGTGCTGCGTGTGTGTTGTGTGAATCAGCGTCTGTGCAGACGTTGTTTGTCGCTGTTGTGACAGAAAGCAAGTCTGACCTTTTCAAATTAAACAGCCTCGGGTGGGAAAAATGTTATTTGGGTTTTCTTTCTTTCTTTTTTTTTTTTTTGAGTCTCATCTGGAAATCAACTAATCAATTCCGGCATTTGGAGGTTTTTGACTATCAGAGATTTGAAGAATACGTTAATTTTTTTCTCTATTTATTAAAGAAAATTTCTATTATAGAAATACTAAGAAAATACACGAGTTTATTTCTTTACTTATGCTATTATAGACAACTCTAACACCATGAACTCGCGGCAAATGAGTGGATTCTAAGAAAGTCTGACATAATTTGCTGTAAATATATTAAAATCTTCAGATAAAAATGTTATTATGTTTAAACAAGATCACACTATGATTGTGTGATTATTAATAAAAATAAATAGCCGACAAAGGTGAATAAAACTAGAAAAAATGATCAAGTGTTTGTCATTATATAACCATTGTCTCTCCTCTCTGGCAGAAGTGATGTCAGATCTTTTTTGGTAGTCATTGCTCATTTTACAGGCCCGATTATTAAACTTTTTTACGAAATTTCACCCCAGTACAATCCCCGAGAGCCAGTCAAGTTAGAGGGATACATAAAAATTGTTGTGAAGAATGAGATGCACAATATGAATGGAAGAGAAACTGGTAGGATGCGAAGATTCAGGAGGATGAAGAAGGGAAAGTAACGATTGTCACTTGATTTGATGTGGTTATGGTTGGGGAGCACACAGACGTGAAAACCTGAAATAAATATTTCTTCTTACTTTAGAACATGAATAAATGAATGATATGTCCCTAAAAAGATATATTTCATCGAAGTAGCTAAGTGGGTTTGGCTACTGGAAGCAAGAAGTACACGGTAGCAGTAATCGATTGGTACTCGTCGTAGTCGCAGGTAATAAGTGTAGACCAATAGAATAGCCAATAGCGTAGTCCAATGGGCGTCGTCATAGACTTAAACTCTGTCGTACCTACACGTCCGTCTGTATTTATGACCGACGCCAGCCAATCATATTCTAATGAGGGGGGAACTCAGGTGTATGCATATTCCATTATATCAATGAAATTGATTCGTGTCCGTGAAAATTGCATGACGTGTACAGGATGTAAACGTCTGAACTAATGAAATTACAGATTCGGGGTTATCTGAACATTTGCAATGAAAATAGTCGTAGTGCAATCAGCGCTTTGTAATACTCTTCATGTGATAAAGAAGTTTCTGATTATAAAACAAGCAATTT